GAAAACTGCACTGGATCGTCATTTTGTATCTGAGTGGCTAGTACAAACCTTACCTAATCATTCATTCATTATAGCTACCACATGAAAGGTTCTGTGCTTGGTGGGAATGCAAGGTTAAGTAAGCTTCTCAGGAGCTTACTGTCTGCACTAGATACCACTCAATAAAGCAAAAAGATAGAAAAGGGGAGGAAAAAAGACATGTAATAGGATAAGGACAAGCAGATACAGGTGTACATACCTTTACAGAATAACAGCACCATTTTTGGGCATCTTACAATACTGATCTAAAGCTGTGCTATGTTTACGTAGGGTTTAAACGGGAAAAATCCCCTGGCATTGTCCTTGAGCTTGAATGAAATTAAGCCCACGATAGAATTTAATCCAAAGTAATAAATCTCATTATCTGTTACTTTAAAATCAAACAGCGAAAATCCTGTTGTTTCCCATTTATTAAATAAGTCTTTGCTTTTTCTTAACTAGTTCAAATCAACTATAGGTAAAAGTTATGTTTTGCTGATATTATATTATGAATTGTAAATATTTTTCTAAATAATCATCTTATACACTAGATTTTTTTACAAATCTTTTCCAGAAGTGTTCAGACTGACAGCCATCACCAATACAAAAATACTTAAACTGGAACAAAGTCCACTTACTGAATAGTGCAGTTTCACAGAAACACTCTTATTTTTAAAATATTTTTCACCACTCTTGAAATGTCACACTACTACATAAAGACCAAACAGCTTTTTACTTAATGAAATGGCGCTAGTGTTTACTTTTTCTTATCTGTTGTAAAAAGTGAGGGGAAAACGATGAACTTCACAAATAGAATGCTGAGCATAGGACAAAGTCTAGGTAATTTCACTTACATGTAACTCAAACAAAACGTATGCTGTAAAAAGCCATATATGATTAGCTAGGGGTGATGTCGTGACTGGGAGGGGACACAAGTTGGACATCTGAGGTGCTCTGTAATTTATTCTGAGTGCTCATTATGTTCATGTTGTGAAAAGATTTTGTACTATACGCACACGATTTCTGTATTTTTCTGTATGTTGTACTTCTAAAATCTGAATACTTAAAATACACAAACTCAAAAAACTTCGCTGACTTCAAGCTCTTTAGTTACCCTCACTCTCTGGCCACACCCATCTTTTTGGCCACATTTTCTAAACTTTACTCTTTGTTACTGGCTCTGCCTTTTCCGAACATCAGTTGAGTATGCTGTTTGTTCTTGGGTATTACAACTGCTCATGTTTTAGACTTTGCTCAGATAGCATTTCTGTGAAGTATTTAGACTCCCTCCATTGATTTCTTTTTTTTTTCAAAGAATTATTTTATGTAAGTTTATTTCTTGTTATTATTTCATTTGACTGGGGGAGGGTGACAAAGCAAGCCACTTGGTCTGAGACTTGAACCACAGTCAGTCATGCGGAAGTCCAGCACCTCAATCACCATGCCACCTGCCAGCCCCACCTCCATCATTTTCGGAATCTCCATAGTAATTTGTGTAAGCCTCTTTTTTAACAGAACTTACCATACTGTAATTTATGTATATGGTCACTCAACTGTGAGATCCTGAAAACTGCACTGGATCGTCATTTTGTATCTGAGTGGCTAGTACAAACCTTACCTAATCATTCATTCATTATAGCTACCACATGAAAGGTTCTGTGCTTGGTGGGAATGCAAGGTTAAGTAAGCTTCTCAGGAGCTTACTGTCTGCACTAGATACCACTCAATAAAGCAAAAAGATAGAAAAGGGGAGGAAAAAAGACATGTAATAGGATAAGGACAAGCAGATACAGGTGTACATACCTTTACAGAATAACAGCACCATTTTTGGGCATCTTACAATACTGATCTAAAGCTGTGCTATGTTTACGTAGGGTTTAAACGGGAAAAATCCCCTGGCATTGTCCTTGAGCTTGAATGAAATTAAGCCCACGATAGAATTTAATCCAAAGTAATAAATCTCATTATCTGTTACTTTAAAATCAAACAGCGAAAATCCTGTTGTTTCCCATTTATTAAATAAGTCTTTGCTTTTTCTTAACTAGTTCAAATCAACTATAGGTAAAAGTTATGTTTTGCTGATATTATATTATGAATTGTAAATATTTTTCTAAATAATCATCTTATACACTAGATTTTTTTACAAATCTTTTCCAGAAGTGTTCAGACTGACAGCCATCACCAATACAAAAATACTTAAACTGGAACAAAGTCCACTTACTGAATAGTGCAGTTTCACAGAAACACTCTTATTTTTAAAATATTTTTCACCACTCTTGAAATGTCACACTACTACATAAAGACCAAACAGCTTTTTACTTAATGAAATGGCGCTAGTGTTTACTTTTTCTTATCTGTTGTAAAAAGTGAGAGCCAGTTCAAGAAGAGAGCTTTTACAACCTGATCTTAGACTTCCAGTCATTTCTTAAGAGCATTAACGATTTAAGTAAAATGAAAAGATACTATCTAAAGATGCAAGTACTGCTATTTCATGACATCTTAAAAGTTCATGATAGTGTTTAAGGGTCAAAAATGTCCATCCGTGGACTAGAAAACCATTTTCCTGACTACGGAAATTGATGCACTTTCCCCTTAAGGTTTATTGCACTCTTTGCCCCAAAGGCAGAACACATCCATTACCACTGCCATTAAACTGCTCTTAAAATAAAAAAAAAAAAAAATTAAAAGAATTAAGTTTATTTCTTCCATGAGAGAGAGACAGGTGTTACCAACAAGGTCTTCACACCGAGATCCACCCCGGCCGGCCCAGATCACAACACCAGCATATGCCTAGAGGACATGGGGAGGCCCCAGGACAGAAGTACTAGAATCATTAAAATCTGGTCAAACCCTCGCTCGCCAAACTTCACAACGAATCACTGAGAACTATCTTCCCCTTCACAGTTGTTTTTGGGGAGTTTCTAGTTTCCATAATTGAAAGGAGCCCTGACCTAAGCTCTGTCACGGAAAACTCAGTGGGAATGTTTTGATCTCCACATCAGGGTGTTCCCTGCAGATACTAATTTAGAGTCACATTCTTTCACCAGAGCTAAAAGTCAACGGAACAAAATCTGTCCTTCCACTGAAAATGTTTATGGTGATCCTAGCTGTGATGCGTGGCTGGTCAAGGACTCTTTTCTGAATACAGAATCATCATATGGTCAGGGGAATGGAAAGAAAATTCAAAGACCACTGGCTTACTCTCCCTCAGTTATGGGGTAAGACCAGTGGATTTAAAGTAATACAGTTCGGGGAGCAGCAGATGGCATAATGGTCACATTGCTGGACTCCCATGTAGATGACCATGGTTCAAGTTCCAGACCCAGAGGCTTAAAACTCATCCTAGGCACACGTGCATGCGTGTCCAAAACTCTGAGAGGAGAATGGAGGAGAAAGAAATCACAGCATGGCTATCCCCATGGGGCGGGGGAGAGAGAAAGCATGATTTCTTGTTTTCTCTCTGTCTCTGTCTCTCTGGTGAGCACACATGCCCTATAGCAAAAAAATCTCTCTTTAAAAAAAAAGTAATACAGTTCATATGTATCTGCACTGCTTTACATCACAAGGCCTAAGCAGTAATGTGCTGTATGACCATTTTCAAATGCAATCACTAAGAGCATACTTAACTGGGCTCTATTGCTGGGAAAAAAAAAAAAAAGGAACATTAGCTTCTATAATGCTCTGGAAACAAGAGAACTGATTTATAGTCAGAATCCTTGAAATATAAAAGGATTATCTGTTTATATCAACATTTCTAAAAGCTGTTAGTAATTGATTTTATGAGTTAGGAAAGTATGTGGCTGGTCTACCTACTCTAACTTATGCCTATCCTTGAAAGTTAATAAAATACCAACACTGAATAAGACTCTAAGTGACAAATAAACATGAGATTTCCCCCTTCAGAATACAGTAATAATGGAGAAATGTTTTTACCTCCACAGGTAATAGTTTATTAATATTTTTTGTTAATTTTCCTGATGACTGAAATGCTATGGATATATCTATAAATTTAAAAACACTAGCAGATAAAAACAAGCAAAACATCTTTTTATTTAGGTATATGTGAAAATACTTCATCTTTCCTTCATCTGAAAATCTGAAATACTCCAAAGTTCACAATCATATGATAGGCCTAAAAATATCAATACCCAGTGTGCACAAATTATGTAAAAATGGCTTTTCTTCTGGTATTTTACCAGTTGAGTTACACTATAAAAAGGTCAAAGTGTAGGGCCAGATGGTAGTGCAATAAAACTTATACTCTGTGAGGCAATTCCACATGGGAAGGTCCCTGGTTCAAATCTAAAGGCCTCTCTGTGTATATGGGCACACATATGTCCATGTTCTAGGGCTGGCTGAAGGCTGAGGCGCGTGGTAATCAGACCCAGTTGAGAGTGCACACATGCACACATGGAAGAAATTAATTAACGTCAGGGGGGAAAAAAAGATCAAAGTGTACCTAACACTGAGAAACACTGCTGGAGACTCAGCTAAGACGATAGAGTCTCTTGCTAGTTTAAAAAGAACCACCTTTTCATTAAGCATCCTGCTTAGAAAAAGCATATACTAACCTACTGAATATTACATAGAGTACATATTAATGTCACAATTGCAACATATTATAAAGTTTCTGTCCAGTATCCTAACCCTTCAAATAAAAGTGTCTTCAAAAATTTCACCAGGAGGGAGAGAAAGGATATGAGAAATGAAGCATGCTTACTACACTCCTCCTCTTTACATTCAAAGGGCATCAGATCAGTTTGGCTTTGCCATCAATAACCAACAGGCAGACATGACACTTAGGTTCAGGTCAGGGTTAAGTGAACCGCTGTCTCAAGCTCACCTGAATTCATGGAAAATAAAAATAAAAAAACCAAGGCAGTAAATGGTATCACCACCACAGAGCAGATATCACTCTGAGAGGTTTCCCTCTCACCAGAAGTCACAGCACCGAGTCAGGGCAGAAAGGATCCATATATTACCTTCAATTGCTCTAGGGCAAAAGATGAACCATCTCGCTGTAAGTTCTCAATAATCTGTTCTACAGTATTAGCTGAAAAGCAACTGTGGAAAAGAAGACATAGATTTTATCAGTATGCAAGTGATTTCCTCTATCTAAGATGCCAATGAATCTGAACATAGACCCTTCCCGCTCCCCAACCCCCACCTCAATAATGAAGACTTCCAGCCTCTTTAAAAGATAATGAAATGGAACATTAGTTTCCTGAGTAGGGATCTGCAGTCTTCCTTCACAAATGCAAAATAAAATCTGTCAATAAACCTTTTTCTTTTGCTTCCTTGCATTTTTGTACTTATATGTAAAGAAACATATCAACTGTGAAAAACTAATGCTTTTAAAATGCGGAGATGGCTCTTATTTTCCAACAGTTGTTCTCTTAAGCCACTCTCTTAATCTCTCAAATAACTGCATAAAACCTTTTGTTGATTGACCTTCAGAGATGACTTGACAAAGACAAGATAAGTTAATTTAATTACTATTTTCTAGTTCCACTTCCCCTACTTAAAAGAGTTTTGCACTGAAATTGATTGTCATGGTTGCTTAAATATAATGAATTTATTTTTCTAAAAGACTGGGCAAGATACTTTCAAAGGTCAGTGAAAATTAAAGTACTCTGCTATCTGATCTCAGAAAACAGTGTATTATCAAATAATGTAATTACAATGTTAGCAAATTTGATTTAATATAATCTTTCCAAAGGAGCAGATGTAATTGAGATCTCTTTTCAAGTACCTGTTTATTTTATCCATGTGTTCCTCAAGTATAAAAGACTTGTCTTGATCAATCTTGGACTGCATGAAAAGAAAAGTCCTTTAGTGAATTTGAAGTAACTCAGATCCTTTTAGAATCCTTAAAATTTTCTTATCATATCTAATAATATGCTTTGTGATACATTATCACTTTCACTCAAATTACATCTAACAGTCTCATAAATAACCACCACCATATGCTCAAAATTCAGTCTACAGTATTCCAGACTAGCTCTTAAAAGTGTCAAAGGCAAAAAATCTTCTTGTATTCTTATTTATATGCCTTTACGTGTAATACATTGTCATTAAAATGTATCTATAAATTTAAGAATTATAAGGGATCAGAGAGGTCACTTACCCAAATTTCCATCTGATCTAAAAATTCCCACTATAGGGACCAGCAGTTAGCATAATGGCTATGTTGCTGGACTCCCATGTAGTCGACCATGGTTTGAGTCCTGGACCCAGTGGCTTAAACTCACACTGGGCGCATGTGCGTGCGTGCCCAAGATCCCAAGAGGAGAATGAAGGAGAAGGGATTGCAGCATGGCCATCCCCCCTGGGGGGTGACTTCTCACTTTCTGCCTCTCTGTCTTTCTCTGTCTTTCTGGCAAGCACACGCGCCCTATAGCAAAAAAACTCTCCAAAAAAAAAAAAAAATCCCACTATATCCCTGGTATCCCGGCAGTTCTGACCTCCCGGGAGAGAACACAGCATCTCCAGAAGGAGCTCACAAGGGCCTGAACAACTCTAACAATCAGGTTTTTGTTGTTTTAATTCTGTACCCAAAAAAATCAGTCCCCTCATGTTTACAGTTCTAGTTCATCTCTCTTTTGCCTTAATAATTTCTTATATGGTAGTTTTCTGATCCTCACAAGCTAGATCCTTCTTATGGGCAAGGTCCAAGGTATCAAGGTCATTCTTAAAGTGTGGAACACATAGCTCAGGTGTGCCTGGATCACAGCAAAGCACAACAGGTTTCCTGGAGCCCTTGTTTATTCTGGATACAGCACTCTAATCAGACTAACTGTGGTTAGTGTCAAGGCAGGCCTATCCATTAAACCAACTTTTTATAAAATGTAAACCTGTGCCATTATCAGTGATGTTTCTTTCTCCTCTTCTGTAGTTTAGAACTTAGTACTCCGGACTGAAATGTGTGCAAGATTTTCACTTAGCTATATTAAACGCCACACTGTTACTATGAAACAGATTGTTCTAAACTCAAAGATGTTTTTTTTAATCTGTATTCTTTTACCTAATTTAACTTGATTTTTCTTAGTTTCAAATCAATTTGATCCAAGTGCTGTCAGCATTCTAACCCCAATCACTGAGATAAATACCTGATCATCGAAAAAGTCATGACACATTTTTACACAGAAAAATACAACTTTTCCAACAATGCAATACTACATCCAAGTTGACGAACCTATAGATCAAAATCTACACATTTAACAGAGCTCTCTGGTAAGGTCCTTCATCCTCCCCTTCCCCCACACTATAATCAATCCCATAAATTGGAACCTGAGGTCAGAGTAAGATTTCCCAGGCAGGGTGGTGTGTGCTGCTAGGATGCTGTGCTCCACAGGCTGGCACCACACGGGAGGCCTGGGTTCCCCTCCCAGTCTAACCTAAAGGCTAGGGCGTGGGTGCAGAGGCATGTGCCTGTAATCTCAGAAATTTGGGAGGCTGGGGAAGGATTATAAGCTCAAGGCTGGCCTGGGTGACATGGAAAAATCCTGTCTACTAGAGTGGTGTGCACCTGGAGTACCATCTGGGAGACTGAGGCAGGAGGACTGTAGCATGGCAAGACTGTCTTTCAAAAAAGAGAGAGAGAGAGAAAGCAAAGTGATAAGATTACCTCTGCATGGTAAGTATCTAAGACATCTGCAACATTTTCTTTTGAAGGAGATTTCAGGGATAACAAATCTTCCTCTAACATCCCCAACTAAAAGGGGAAAAAAAAAGGAAAACAGATTTGAAACTCCACAGAAACACTGAAAGCTCTTTCAAAAACTCATGTTGTTTTTTAGAATTCTTGTCTTAAAATTATGATGCTCCCTCTTCCAACGGAGTCAGTAAAAGAGATTTTGACTGAAGATGAATGAATGTACACACATCCCCACATGGCAATGGTGCCTTATGAGGAATGGATAAAGATGGAATAAACAAGACAGGAATAGAAATACTCACCTGTGCTTTCCTCTGGCTACTGAACACTTCAAACGTGGTATAAAAAAGTAAGATTTTGGTTGTAAATTTTATTTTTAATTAATTTTAACTAAAATTGTCCCACATGACTAGGGGCCACTATAGTCAACACACAACTCCATAAACAGTCTCACTTACCTTTCCATCTAATCCCTCGCGTATCCTTCAGTTGGCCAAGTAGGTCTTCTTTCGCTGTTTTCAAAACATACCTAAAGTTTTTCTGTCCCTGAGGATATGTTCAATGGTTCCCCTAATTAGAATGCCAATTCCTGATAATTCTTATCTTAAGGCCAGTTGAATCGCAACCTCTATGAAAAACTTCTAGTCTGGGGACCAGTAGTTAATGTAATGGTTATGTTGCTGGACTCCCATGTAGTCGACTGCAGTTCGAGTCCTGGACCTGGTAGCTTAAACTCACGCATGTGCGTGCGTGCCCAAGACCCCGAGAGGAAAATGGAGGAGGAGAAGAGACTGCCGCGTGGCCATCCCCTCCTGGAGGATGATTTCTCACTTTCTGTCTCTCTGTTTGTCTCTCTTTCTGGCAAGCGCATGTGCTGTATAGCAAAGGCTAGGGCGTGGGTGCAGAGGCATGTGCCTGTAATCTCAGAAATTTGGGAGGCTGGGGAAGGATTATAAGCTCAAGGCTGGCCTGGGTGACATGGAAAAATCCTGTCTACTAGAGTGGTGTGCACCTGGAGTACCATCTGGGAGACTGAGGCAGGAGGACTGTAGCATGGCAAGACTGTCTTTCAAAAAAGAGAGAGAGAGAGAAAGCAAAGTGATAAGATTACCTCTGCATGGTAAGTATCTAAGACATCTGCAACATTTTCTTTTGAAGGAGATTTCAGGGATAACAAATCTTCCTCTAACATCCCCAACTAAAAGGGGAAAAAAAAAGGAAAACAGATTTGAAACTCCACAGAAACACTGAAAGCTCTTTCAAAAACTCATGTTGTTTTTTAGAATTCTTGTCTTAAAATTATGATGCTCCCTCTTCCAACGGAGTCAGTAAAAGAGATTTTGACTGAAGATGAATGAATGTACACACATCCCCACATGGCAATGGTGCCTTATGAGGAATGGATAAAGATGGAATAAACAAGACAGGAATAGAAATACTCACCTGTGCTTTCCTCTGGCTACTGAACACTTCAAACGTGGTATAAAAAAGTAAGATTTTGGTTGTAAATTTTATTTTTAATTAATTTTAACTAAAATTGTCCCACATGACTAGGGGCCACTATAGTCAACACACAACTCCATAAACAGTCTCACTTACCTTTCCATCTAATCCCTCGCGTATCCTTCAGTTGGCCAAGTAGGTCTTCTTTCGCTGTTTTCAAAACATACCTAAAGTTTTTCTGTCCCTGAGGATATGTTCAATGGTTCCCCTAATTAGAATGCCAATTCCTGATAATTCTTATCTTAAGGCCAGTTGAATCGCAACCTCTATGAAAAACTTCTAGTCTGGGGACCAGTAGTTAATGTAATGGTTATGTTGCTGGACTCCCATGTAGTCGACTGCAGTTCGAGTCCTGGACCTGGTAGCTTAAACTCACGCATGTGCGTGCGTGCCCAAGACCCCGAGAGGAAAATGGAGGAGGAGAAGAGACTGCCGCGTGGCCATCCCCTCCTGGAGGATGATTTCTCACTTTCTGTCTCTCTGTTTGTCTCTCTTTCTGGCAAGCGCATGTGCTGTATAGCAAAAACCTCTCAAAAAAAAGAAAAAAAAAATTAGCCTGTTCTTATCTTTATACACTTACTCTTTTCAATCCCTCAAGTACTTTCACTATCTCCAGCTTTTACACTCATCACACTTTATTCTGCCAGACGATACAGATGGTTATTTATCTTTTGAACCCATCTCTAGCCCCATTCCCAATACGTATTATTCATTTTCCTATCTTCTACAGCCCCTGAGAACGACAGTCTACCAGTGTGCAGGTATTATTACTGGGCAAGCTCACTAAGAAGGAGAGGGTTTTGAATCAGCATTCTCTCCCACCCTTGACTAAATGAACTATAATCAAGAATGTCCATTCCAGAGTAGATAATGGGATATTTATGTTTGCTTCCTGTTATGGCTCAAAGGAGGATCGATAGAAATTAAAAGATTCACTGGAGGGATGGCATATTGGCTACACCGCTGGATTCCCAAGTAGTCGGCTGTGGCTCTAGTCCTGGCTTAAAACTCACACCAAACACACATGCATGCGTGCCCAAAATCCCGAAAGGAGAGTGAAGGAGGAGGAATTGCGGCATGTCCACACACCCTGGGGAGTGATCTCTTGCTTTCTGTCTCTGTGTCTCTCAGGCAAGCGCACATACCCTACAGCAAAAATCTCTCAAAAAAAGAAAAAATTCACTGTAAAGGTAAGTAGGGCTGTTATAGAAGAATGAGACACAGCCTAAGCAGTGTGACTGTGGATGCTCACAGCACAGAAAAAGGTCTGAACTACCTAGCAAATCTGATGGAAGCCCACATAACAGTTGACAGACTCAACCTTCCATTCTGTATATAGATCATACAAAAGTGATCTCTAAAATGGATGAAGACCAAGGGTTATCCATGTAATATTTGTCAGTTTATGAAGTTTGTAAAGAGAATTCTATTAGCAACCAAACATTTTAGTGCTATCTAGTTGTTTTACTTCGATGGCTGGTAGGCCAAAAAGGACACGTGAGAAAATCACAATCTGTCAGCAGTTCACAGGGATTCACACAATAGCCCAATTGTCAATGTAACCCCTGCTCTCAGTACCCCAAGCTGAAGAGTGTTATGCAGTGCATGTGTGGACATGGCAGGTCATCCCGTGTAACATAAAAGAGACTTTTAAATATCTGGTCACGTCTAAAAAATATACATATAATCTGCTGTATTAATAATTCGATTGCAGTGTACTTACTATATGGCAGTTACTGGGTAATTAAAACAAATTTTCCAATTTAATTTTTTAAGAGGTTTTTGTTACATGGCATGTGCTCTTGCTAGAGAGACAGAAGTGAGAAATTACCCCACCTCCAGGGGGGATGGCCATGCCACAATCCCTTCTCCTCCATTCTCCTCTTGTGCTTTCGGGCACACACACTCACAAACTTGGCAGAGTTTTAAGCCACCGAGTCCAGGATTCCAACCATAGTCGGCCAGGTGGTAGTCCAGCACCTTAACGACTATACCACCTGGTGGCCCCTCTAATTTTTCTTTTTCTCTTATTTTTTTCAGAGATGTTCTTGCTACAGGGTGCATGTGCTCGCTAGAAAGACAGAGAGAGACAGAGAGACAGAAAGTGAGAAATCATCCCCCAGGGTGGATGGCCACGCCGCAATCCCTTCTCCTCCATTCTCCTCTTGGGGTCTTGGTCACGCACGCACATGCGCCCAGCATGAGTTTAAGCCACCGGGTCCGAGACTCGAATCACGGTCGACTACTAATTTACTTTTTGTAATATTCCTTCCTCTATCCTAAAACACTCTTCCTTCAAGATCAGATGTTGGTTTGAAGACCACGTGTTTCCTGGGACTCTGACTTCACCGCACAGCTTTCAGGATAGAGAGCACTACCTTGAACAAGCCAGTTAGCTTATTCCACTCACCCACTTGGTTCAGGGGTGAGATAAGCCAGTTGAATCAGTGAACTAAACCAGATGAAGCAGAATAAACTGTAGGATTCTTGCTGGGAATTCTGAGACAAAAACACCTTGAATTGGGTTTCCCATTACATATAACACAGGGAATTTCAACTACTACGTAATACTGTCATCCTCATTTTGCTGATGAGAAAACTGGGAGCCAACAAAGCTAAATTAAAGCTAAGACTTAAATTCTAGCACATCATCTGCACTTTCTTTGCCACTCTGCCATACTGTCTAATAAAACTGTCCACACTGTTGGAAAGCAAACAATAAAAACAAAAAACAAACAAAAAAAACACAAGACAACAAAGAAAAGTAACCTGTTCCTTCAAACAGACACATTTTAAAAAGGTTATAAGACCATATTTTACAAATGCAATTATTTTATATGCACTAGGAAAACTCACAACTAAAAGAACCCTTTTGAACTGTCTTTATACAATAAAAGCCTATCTTTTTACATGTAAACTTAGATTTTTTTAAATATTAGACTTTCTTAAAGTAGGTATTACATTTTCTTAAAAACGTATTCTAATTACTGAATAAAGAATAATCACTGAAGGTGCCAGGCAAAATAGCTCTGAATCCAAGTATGATTATCACCATTTTGCAAGCGAGAACCCAGAATTGGAGCTTAAACACTTTCCCTAACATGACAGAGCTATTAGTATAAGCTAAAGATCCAGAGTTCACACCCATTTCCCCAAAACTTGTCATCTCAACCACTCGCAGTGCTTCCCCATGCAATGCTTTCTGCTGCTATTCCAACATAAAACGCAATCATCAGAACAAATACCTTTTCAGAATCTATAAAGTGTGTAGCAATTCCTGCTCTGCACACATCTCTTCCTTTTAATCTGAATCCTGTTAATGCAAGCAAGTAGCCAAGTTTTCCTTGAAGTCTTGGCAAGAAATAACCTCCACCCACATCAGGGAACAGTCCTGTAATTAAATGTAACAAAAAGAGATAACAATGACAACGATTCCAATGGTAAAGACGAATATAACCTCTTTATATTATACAGTCATTTCTCGTTGGCATCTGAAGTCATATTATAAATATTAAACTAATTGCTAGGCAATACAATTACATCACAAAAGGCTTGGTGTAAATTGTGATTTAATGTGGAAAAATTTTCAAAATCTTCATGTCTCAACTTATACAGAAGTCACTAACCTATTTGATGGTACAATGTTTAAATATATCAAGTACTCAGTGATACCTATCTTTTCTTAACCTTAATTTTAAGAATCTGAAATAAATAAAAATTGAAAAAAAATTTCCATTCCAAATTATAAGCATAGGAAAAACATGCACAATTTAAGGACTTTATACCATGGTAAAATTCATGATTACCATTTAAATTAAACTTAATCAATGATCTAATTCAAGATATTTAAAGATCAATAAGTGATTATTAATCCTACTAAATAAATGAGTTTATACCTAATAAAATAATTTGCATTTATGTAGTCTTTCTATACTATCAGTATTTTTAAAGATAATTATGAAAAAAAAATTTATTACCTATTGCTGTTTCTGGCATTGCGAAAACCGTCTTTTCAGTAGCCACTCGGAAGTGCCCATGTACTGAGAGACCAACTCCCTAGGGAAATAAAAAATTTGGTTTAATAATATTGAAAAAAAATTTCACATACTCGCAAACATAACAAAGCAGGTAAAGTATAATTATATTCCACAGGACTGTGTTTCATGGGGATAGGCTGGAGGGACGCGCTAAACCACACAATGTCAGACAAACTTACTAGCAAAAACATAATGGGAACCCCTGATATCCAGAATAGATCTGGTTTAGCTCTGATGTTTTCAGTCAGTAGTGTGTATTATGATTCATTCCTTCTTTCCCAAATTCTTTCTCATTTCAAAACAGATGCAACATGATAGAACACTGTTTCTTCCCTGAATCATTGAGTGTAGCTTGTTCATGGCATCAATAATCAAAAAAGCACAATCAAGCTAGTCTGGCTATTTTTCAGTAGTTGTAAACAAAATATTAACACATTTTACTTATGTATATATTTTATCTAATAAAATCATTTTTCATATCCAACATCATTTTTCTCAGATACAACTTTTTTTTTTTTTTAAGAGACTTTTGCTATAGGGTGCATGCACTCACTAGAGACACAGAGAGACAGAGAAACAGAAAGTAAGAAATCACTTCCCAGTGGGGATGGCCAAGCCACAGTCCCTTTTCCTCCATTTTCCTCTCAGGATTTTGGGCATGCGTACACACACATCCAGTGTGAGTGTCAAGCTGCCAGGTCCAGGACTAGTCAACCACCTGGGAATCCAGTGCCTTAATCACCACGCCACCTGCTGGTCCCATCAGATGCAACATTTAATGGGAACAATTTCAGGTTGCGTATCCCTTATCTGAAATGCTTGAGACTAGAAGAACTTCAAATTTCTGATTTGGGGGAGATTTTAGAATGTTCACATATATATAATGTGATATTCTGGGTCACTGGAAAAATCATGACATACTTTTATGTTTTCCTATGCGAAAATGTGTCATGACTTTTCCAACCCAATATATTCTAGTTGTGTCATTCTCCACCCAAAGACAGATCATTTTAATCAATTTGCAAAGTAACCCTTCAGATACTTTCCCCATGTTATTCCTTATTATTGGAACAAATGTGTATATCTCCATAATCTGGCCCTACCTGCTGTTCTGACTTTTATCTTCCACCGTTCTTCCTGGGCTTATTTCACTGGTCACAGGAACTTTGTGCCATTCCTCCAAAGTTTAGGCTTTACAATTTCAATTAATCATATAGTTTTCAAGTAAGGAAGACTTACTAAAGAAGTCCACTGGCTGCCCGATTTGCCCTTTTACTAAGGAAATCTGCTTTTTCTAGAGACAATTTTCCTTTTCCCCAGTAGTGGTCAAACTAAGGATGGGCAATGTCCCCAAGGGCAGCCAACTGAGACTAACCAGAATTCTGAGGCTCCAGAAGCAAAGCAGGGGAATACGAATTAGGTTCTGACTCTTGGGTATTTAAACGAAAACACTGTGGGCAGCTGTCAATTGATGACAGGCAATGAAGCTTAAAGGTCACTTGACATCTGAGCTAAAGAACATGACAGCCAAGTAGAAGATGGAATTATATGAGGTAGAAACAAAAAACTGAGAAGACTGTGACCTGTACAACAGGGCAACAACAAAGAATCAAGAAACATATAAAAAGGAGCAGAGGCAGTCAAAGAGAGAGAAAAATCAGTAAATATGCTACTTTAATTGGCCCTAAACCCATGTCTGCTGTCTAATTTTCATGAAGATAAGCTATGCTGTGGTTTGTCTTTAGATTCACATTTAATTCCTGCACTTGTCTAAGGGCCGTACTATTCTCTTTTGTGAATCTGTTTGAGTGATTTTCTATTCTTTTCGATTAAAAAAAGTCTTTTCGCCAGATTTTCAATTAGGACCACACCTATATCCTGTTACCTGGTTAGCATCACACAACCCAAGCCTCTAGTCCTTTGGTCTCCAGTACATATATTCCCCATGATACTGTTCTGCACTTCTCTCAACACACCTTCCCTGTACTAATAAGCATTCTCATTATATCCTTGGAACATGCATCCTTTACAAATAAGCCCTCTTACATACCAACTTCTCTGCAGAGGGCCCTCTCTCCTCCTGAACTCAGTGGAGAAAAGAAACTTATGAGCCCCTTATTTTTTTCATGTTGAAACTACAGAACCTGAATTCATTACATCAGTTAGTTACTACCTATTTTGCAAGACATTTTGTTTCAGCTTTGACTGATAAAATAATGAAATAAAGATTTCGATATTTTAGTAAAAAGTTATTAATGGGGACCAACAGATGGCATAATGTTTACATCACTGGATTCCCATGTAGTCGATCGCAGATCGAGTCCCAGAACCAATGGCTTAAAACTCGCGCCCGGCACGTGTGTGTACGAGCCCAAAATCTCAAGAAGAGAATGAATTGTGGGGTGGACATCTCCCCGGAGGGTGATTTTTCACTTTCTGTCTCTCTGTCTCCCCAGCAAGCACACATGCCCTATAGCAAAAATCCTTCTAAAAGTTAAAAAAAAAAGTTATCAACAAAAATCCTTTAGAGTAAGAGATCACTGACACAAGAATAACTAAAAGCCGATTTTTAAGCCTTTGCATAAAGACGAAGGCTAGGAATAGCCAAGTCACTTGAGTTGGAGATACTAAGAATATAAAGGCTGATCCATGCTGAACGGGATAGAGGACCTCTGAAGTAGATTCAAAACTAACTTTTGCCTCTTACATCCTAGAATCCACTGTAAGTTTCTTATAAGAAGTCCCCCCTCCTTAAAACTTCTGAAACTGAATGTTGTATTCTATTTCTACTCCCTCAGCAGTATATACTTTTGTTGCTCCACATCATCACCAGTTTTTGAAGCTGTCTTTCACATTTTAGCCATTCTAATGAGTGTATGTTAGCATTTCAGGGTAGTTGTAATCTGCATTTCCTTTAAGATTAATGCAGTTGAATCCTTTTTCAAAAGTTTCTTGCTAGCTGATTTTTTTTTTCTTTTTTCTTGAGAGAGAGATATTTGCTATAGGGTGTGTGTGCTCACCAGACAGGCAAAAAGAAAGTGAGAAGTCATCCCACCAGGGAGGATAGACACGCCATAATCCCTCCTCCTTCATTCTCCTCTCAGGATCTTGGGCATGCACGCATATGCACCTGCTGTGAGTTTTAAGTTGCCAGATCAGGGACTCAAACAAACCATGGTCGACTACGTGGGAGCCCAGCGATGTAACCATTATACCCTCTGCTGGTTCCTGGCTACTCTCACTGAAAAATGTCTGTTCTTTGCTTGTTTTTTTACTGGATTTTCTTATTGATTGGTAAAAATTCATTATATAATCTCAAACGATTCCTTCATCAGATAATGCATTCCAAGGACCGTTCAAACTGTAGCTTGCCTTTTAACTCTCTTAAGGATGTCTTGAAATTAAGAATTTTTCCTTTCTTCTCATTTTTCTTTTTTTTCCCCAATCTCCAAAGAGCACATGCAAGAGAGAGAGGGAAAAAGAGGAGAGAGAAAGCACCTCTCAACAGGACACGGTCACACTACAATCCTTTCTCCTCCAATTCTCCACCCAGTTGGGATCTGGGGCACATACACACACATGCCTGACATGTTTCTCAAGCTGCTCCCAGGGCCAGGATTCAAACCATGATTGGCCATATGGGTTCTGGCTCCTTAACCATTAGTCTACAGGACTGGCCTTCGACAGTTCTTAATTTTAACACAATTCAGTTGTTGACTTTGTTTACAGCACAATTCACATACTATTTATGTAATCCTTCCTATCCAAAAGGTCACAAAGATATTTTCCTGTATGATCTTCTGAAATATTTATACTACTTTATCTTTCACGTGTAGGTCTACAATTCTTCCATAAGTAATTCTGTTTATAGTATGAGTATTGTGAGATTCGGAAACTTTTTTAACAGGAATATACAAATGACACAATATAACTTACTGAAATGAGCCTCTAGGTTTATTAGTACCAATTAACCAGAATAATAGAATTCTATTGACTTGATAAACTTGTTGGAGTTTATCACTGGATTTGATTTGCTATTATCTTGAAGATTCTTCATTTATGTTCAAAAGAGAGACTGGATACAACTTTCTTCCCTTCTAATGTCCTTTGTAGGCTTTAGTATCAAGATTATGGCGGCCACAGAACATGGGATAGCAGTGTTCCATCATACTTTATTGTGTGGAAAAGTTCAAGTAAGATCGATGCTATTTCTTCTTAAACGATTAAAAAAAATTGAAAGTGTAGTCATGTAGAAATAGTATTTTGAGTAAGCTTTTCTTATAGGCTTTCATTAATAGTTACCATAAACTCAATTTCATGAATAGTTATAGATTTAAGATCGTTCTTGTGTCAATGTCGATACACTGTAGAAAACTGTCTACTACATCAATATTTTGTCATCTATATCAATAAAGCTGTATATAACATCCTATTTCAATCTTTTTAAAGGTTAAGGGTGCTACAGAGATATATCCTTTTCATCTCTAAATTTATAAAATACTTTGCTTTTATTTTCTTATTAATCTCTTAAATAATTTATGAGGTTTATTAGCCTATCTTTGAGGAGCTTCTTTACTGTTCATTTATTTTTAATTTCACTCACTGCTACTTTGGTCATTCCACCGTGGTGTCATACAAGGTACTGTTTATTTTCCAAATATTCAGGATTTTCCATTTATCTTTCCATTACTGATTGCTAGCTTAACTCTGTTGGCGCTAGAGAACATATTCTATAAGATTAATGCTTCAAATATGTTAAAACTAATTCTGTGGCCAAGTGTGGTAACTACTCCATGCACACATGAAATGAACATGAATTTTGCAGTTAGTGACTATGTGTTCATTTATATTTATTAAACAATGTTTAAATTGTGCAAGTGCATGTAAAATTGTATATTTATACATATAGACACATACTGAATATGTCTCAGTTTCAGCTGTTAAAAAAAGAAACGTGTTTAAATCTTTGGCAATAATTATAATTTTATCTATTTTTCCCTTTAAGGGCTTTTTGGTTTT